GTAGCAGAATGCTGGTATTGTAAAATAATTTTTTTATATGTTGCACACTGGGTGAAGTTATTAACAGTACTCTGATTTCCTATTTTATCATTTTAGTTAGATTCACTTGTCACAATTATCATGTCCAGTTTCTTTTGAGTTTTAATATCACTCTATTCATATTCAATACGTACGTACGTACATGTTCATTACAGTATTATGTTGAATATGAGCACAGATATTAGGATTTTCCGGTATATATTAATAATTTAAATAGAAACATAAGCGTCAGCTTAAGCTAATTAAATAATATATTAGTTACAGGCTAGAGATCGTGTGAAGATAATTCCAACTACAAAAGATCATAACAGCTAAGTTTCGAATAAAAGTAATAAATTCAATTAGTATGCTTTACACTAATAAATTTAAAATTTATTTATTTATTAAATTCTAAAAAAACGAATATGAATCTTGTGGGTATAATTCTTGAGAATCTGATTCTTGCGAAACTGATTCTTGGGAAACTGATTCTTGGGAATAGAGGTTTTGGGAATATGAATCTTGGGAATAAGAGTCTTGGGAATATGAATCTTGAAGATAGAGGTCTTGGGAATATGAATCTTGAAGATAAAGGTCTTGGGAATAAGAATCTTGGAAATATAAATCTTTGGAGTATGTATCTTGAAGTTGTGAATCATAAGGATGTGAACTTTGAAAATTAAAAAAACTAGTAATTTTTTGTTGTTTTTTTGATTTTTCATATACACGTTTATATTCTTTAAGCAGATTTCTTAAAAATTCTAGTTCTTCGAGGGAGAGATTCGACTCTGAATTTTCCTGTTCTTCATAGCGAATAACAGTTTGCATTGCATTAAATACTTCAGCAGCTGTTACAGGTGGATCAGGTACTTCATCTTCATCTTTAATTTCTTGTCTGACCGATTCTTCATTTTCATCAGCTTGAACCATAGAGATGATCCCCTCATCATCGAGTATTTCTTCTGTAGCAGCAGGTTCGTCAATTAGTTGTAGATATGTTATTGTGGCTTGAGCTGTCTTTGGAGCATATGAACTTTCATCTAGTAATTTAGCAATTATTTCCTCAATTTTATCATTTCCTAATAAAATATCACTTTCGGCAGGTTGTTCTACAGTATCCATATCTGGCTCATTTGTGTTCGGAAGAATTCTTGTCTTGTTCCAGCAGTTTTGAATGGTTGTATTACTTACATCGTCCCATGATTCTGCGATGAAATCAATTGCTTTCTTTATAGTTATTTTTTTTCTACAAGAAAAAAAATAGAAATTAGCCCAAACAATAGCAACAAA